AGTTCGGGCCGATCAATAATGCTTTTACCTGGCCAATTTCGAAACTATCTTATCAAAACACACCCGCAACTAAATATAGCAGAAAGGCGAACGAGATATTCCTTTCTGGGGGCTATTAAAGCCAAGCCCGCTAGCCATTTTATGGGTGCATACATAGCGTGCATGCAAGGTCAACTGTTTTCGTTTCTGTGACTAACATTGCATAATTTTAAGTATTCAAACTATAAAATTCTGAACTTCTAAAATCCACTGAAAATTCAATTTTGCTTTCGTTCTTTTTTATGACCAGCAAGCAGGATTTCGGTGTCGTATAAGCTGTTTTTTATTGCCCTAACTATTATTTAAGTAACTGTTATTTTTATTGAAGCATAAAAATAAATAAAAAAAACACCAAATTGCTTTATGAAAAATTGCATGAATTTCCTGATGTTGAAAATGATCAAACTGTGGGCTGCTAGGATGCCAGGAGAGCTTCCAAAATACAATTTTCGAAAATGAACCAAAAATGTTTAATTTATATAAAAACCGAATGAAACGTGAATGAATGAATTAAAGTATAATATCAGTTGAGTGTTAATGAAATTAGATTAGAAAAATAAGAGAGGGCGCCATAAACAGTTTTGAAGTAAAACTTCTTTAGGCGCGACTAGGAGTAAATATGTGCAACGGAAATAGCGTTACGACCGAACACAGTTCGTCATTTCCTCTCGATTAAATCATGTCTATACTGTTCGATTGTGATTAGTCGTCGTGTCATGTGAATAGATTTCTGTCGTATGCGTATCAACAAGGAAATCGACATAGATAAATAAACATATGTTTATTTTAAGGTTAACCTTCGTAGTGCAAATCTTGATTTAATAAAAAAAATGCCTGAATCAGAAGAATATTTTATCTTGTCCTATATTATAATGAAAATAATAAAACAAGTGCAACATTTGCGCCGTGTACGAAGCATAAGTTTATTGAAATAATTTCTATATTATTCGCGTGTGAACCTTACGCGCACTCTTTTTCTTAAAACACATGGGGAGTATGAAAAGGTTGGAAACCACTGAAATAAGTTAGTTTTTCGATAACATATGTTTGAAATAAGGTAGATTTATCGTTTTGAGAAAACGTAGATAAAAAATTCTGGAACTCTGAATAATGATAAAATGTTTTCATGTTTGTAGCAAATGTTATGGATTTTCGAAGATGAATATTATAATAGCTGGTATTATAATAGAAGATAAGATCACTGTTATTGTGATCGAGTTTTTTTTTAAATATTAAAAAAATAATATGTTACGAAGCCAAGAATATTATTAGAGTAGAGTTCTTCACGCGTTTGTTCTCAAAAGTAGATGAAGTTTAAATTATTATATATACAAAATATAATAAATTCATTTCATCGTGTGGTATTATGTAAATTAAAGAATTCCAAATATACAGATCCATTGCAAGCTCTTCATATAGCATAACAGATAGAACACACACAATATTTTGGCTGAGCGGCGGCGGCTCCTTTGATTTAACTATAAAGTTACTTTTCGGTATTCGGCTGAATATCGAAAAAGGTGCCGAATACCGAATAGTAACCGAATATTCGGTGCTAGCCTAATTATTACTTATTCGAGTGTATCCAAATATACAAAAAGCTTCCAGGAAAATGCATTATCTTCAGTAGTATGATCAATTAATTAATGAAGAGATAAACGAAATGTAAAGCGATGAAATAATTATTAATGACATAATGCAATATCATATAACGAAAACAAAACTCATGTCAGATAATGCATGTTATATCTTAACATACGAAGAACTTGTATTGCTCATATGATATTAAGTTTCATGGGAGAAAATATTCAATCAACTGATAAAAGAAGAGTGAGAAAATCTGCGATTACCCCTTTCGTTTATCTTTTATAGCATTCAGTGTAATGTAGGTGGATTTTAAGCGTAGTAAGTTTTTCCCATTAATTTTATATTTAAATACCCAATAGGCATTCATTTGGCAAATACACACAATGTATTGACTTATACCACGGGAACATGTGCGCGGGCCTCAATGAACAATGGATTTTTTTATGTAGGGTTACGGGACAAGCAGACATTGCTCTGTGCCCTACAAGTCACGTACACACAGTCCACGACGAGAGAAAATTGAATGAACGATTCAATCTAAAGGCTAAAGATTTAAATAACAAATATTTAAATAAAAAGGTAAAATCTAAATAAAGTGTTATAGAAAATCATAATGGAGTGGTTTATTAATCACATTTTAATTTTTTATGTCGGGCAAGACTTATCGCAACTTCTTGGAATGTTTTGTAAAATGATATGTATTGAAAAAGATATGATTATTCACCATGGGAAAGAAACGATCAAATGTCCTGAGTATTGTTTATTTAAACTAATATAATATTAATAATAATAATAATATGACATCAATTTTAAGTTCTGATAATCCGGGATGCTAAATAACTTAAATATTATTTCAAAACTAGTTGTGTATGGCATCGTGCCTTAAGGCAAATTGCTGGTACTTCCCGTACCGCAAGGAAATGTTCGAGAAATTTTAAATGTTTTCAAGTAGATTATTATAAATACTGTAACACTGTCTAATATTTATAAGAGTTATTATAAACTGAATAACAAAGTTAAAATTATTTATTTAAAATATGTAAGTGAGCTTTACAACCTTAGCCATAATTAGAATTAAAATATCAATTATTGTCGATATACTAAAAAAAAAATTTTTTGAGAAAAAAAAATTGTAATATTTTTTTACAAAAGCAATTATTTTGTCAAAACAAGCAGAAAGTTTTTTAATCATTCAAATCGACTGCTTATTTATCTCAAAAACTTCCATTTTTTGCACGTTTAGCTCGGTATCTCCGAAACGGCTGGACCTGCCTTTGCCAAAAACTAATCACTTCTTCTCCTTATCATTACAAACTGAATGTTCTTTAGATCATGCATATCGGATGCTCCGTTCTCTCAAAAACTCTATTTCTATTTTCCGCACTCTTTGCTCCGTATCTCCGAAACGGCTGGACCTGTCTTTGCCGAAAACTAATCAGCACATATCCCTATCAATAGGAATCGAATGTTTTTTGAACCATTCAAATCGGTTGATCCGTGCGCCCGAAAACGTGGATGAAAAATTGTATCCATACATACATACAAATCCATTTTTTTGAAGTATGCCAAAATGTTCAGAAAACCTTCAAAACGTGAATAAATGTAAAAATTTTCAATTTCGATTTTTGGACAATTACAATAACTTACTCTACGGGAAGTTAATAACAAATACTATTTAAGGATACAATAAAAAAAAAAGTTATTTTCAAGTGAATCAATTTTTTTTAAATAGAATTGCGGACTTTTAGTAAGTTCTTATTATTCTAATTAGTCGATTATATGTATATTTGTTGGATAGGTGGAAATCTGGGAATATCCAGGGCAAACCAGGAAAGTTATTGACTATCACCAGGCACCAAAAGGAGGCAGTATTTATTGTAATTGAATGTTTTGTGTTATATCAAATGTAAATAAGGAACGATAAAAATATTCTTTCTTAATGCTACTTGCTTATTTGTGAAATAATAGACATATAATTTCATATACTGAGAAATTCTTATTTAATTCGATACCTTTTTCTTTTTTTGCAAAGAATTTGATTAACAAAATTATATTAACTAAGAATAAACATATTAAAAAACCCACGTGTTTGTTATCCATTTGTGAATAAAAGATATTTGGCAAGTGTACTGTTTTAAAATTACAATTTTATCAGTTATAGTTATTGTTTTGTGAACAGAAATGATTTGTTTCACTTTGACAAGCTCATTGTTACAAAACTACGATTTTATTGAAATATATTTAATACCACATTTATCAAAATGTTTATAGTTCAGATAATAGTAGTGCAGTGAATTTAAACAAAATGATATTAAAAATGAATACAATTCGCTGAATACAATTTTAACATTTATAATAGGTAAATTATATATAATTATATACATTATATATATTTTCTATTATACTCACATATAAAAAAATATAATCTAACAGAAAAATTGACAACATTTATACATGTTATGTGGTTAACAACAAGAAACCGATAGACAAAACATACAATTAGTTTGTTCTTGATAGAAAAGCTGATGATGGAACGCAATTAGATCCGAAACGTTGCAAACAAATGTTTCTTATTTTAAATTCACTCTTTAGAAAGCAAACATAAACAAATCAAAACGTTTACTGGGGCATAAAATAGCATAAGAAGAACATAAATTAAAAAATCATTAAAAGGTGAATTCTTTAACACAAATTTGCATCCTGGACTTACGAAAATTTAATAATGAAATCTTCTATGAAAGATATTATATAATACGCAATGCAATGTTTTTATCCACATTGTTTTTGATTGAAGAATGTTGTACTAATAACAATTCAACTGTTATTATAAAACATTTTTAACATTTACCATCCACGTACACATACACACAGATATTATATATATATATGTTTCAACGTCGAACAAAAAATCATCAAAATATATATATATATATATATATATAATAAAAAATGAATAGAAGAGAAACTATAATCAACTAAAAACATGTATGACCAGGCAGCTGACACAGCACGAAGGCGCGAGGTTACGATAGATACAAAGATTTACCTCCTACTACACAAACTTACATCATGTAAACATAGAACACGAAGTAAAATTTCAGACTTTTACACTTAATGAGATATTAATAATAATTCATCTGTTCGTAGAATATATAATATAGCTTGTTTTTGATACACAAAACACATAGAGAGCTGACAGTAATCATAGTTTCAAGATTTTTTTTGTTATGCATGGAAATAGCCATTAAGAAATATAGTCCCGCGCGCGGCTCGAAACCCACAAAGAAAATATTAACAGACAGCTATAACTAACTTAGCTTCAACAAGCAATTTATATGAAATATTTTTATATATCCATTATCATTATCCCTTACCGATCCTCTGCCCGAGGTTAGTGGCCAGTGATAAACAACGGGTTCGGCCCCCGCGGGCGAGTGTAGACGTAATTCCATTACAGAAAACACAAACACAATCCACTAGATACACTAATCACTTAAAATGCATAGAAATATTTGAAAAACAACACTAATCAATTGGCTAATTTTCACATTTTTCGTCACTAACTCACGCACCCTATGCCACAACGCGCCATGACTTCTCGATTGAGTCGAGTAGTTATTTTTTCAAGATGGCTGCGGCCAATGCACTTGTGCACGGAATCGACAATAGCGCACCCAGCGCAATGCTTCGCAATTAGAATAGAAAGAGGCAAGAGGGTCGCTCGATCAATTGTTAGATACATTTTGTAAATAAACATTACGCCCACTCGTAATTCATTATTATTAGTTTTGTATAAACAGTTAGTTAATTCTACAATTTTAAAATAAAATAGGTTTTGTATAAATTACGTATGATTTTTGATCCATCTGTTCAAGAAAACCCATTGATTTTGTTGTATCAAACAAATCCAATGCAATAAAAGTGCTAGTTTATTCGATTAAACTAGTATGTAGTATACTTTTGTTAGGTTTATGATAAATGACTTTCACAATGATAAGTGAGTCCAATGCTAAATTAAAGTGAGTCCAATGCTAAACAAAAAACAGAAAATAATATACAAATGGTCTTATATTCTCTTTCAAATTATATAAACTCGTACTCATATTTTTATTTAGTGTGCATTTCAATTGCTAATATGCAATGTTGCACACTTCATATTATGAAGTTCATGATGTTTTAAACACTGAATATTCATAATGTTTTATGAATTTTTTATCCAAGTTAATTTAATTTCATTTTCTTAATTTTTGATGCTTTCGTATTCTTTTTCCTTTTTAATTTTCCTTTCTTCTCCATCTTGCTTACGATAACATTAGTCTGTTCCTCTTTCTATTTAAAATAAAAGTATTATGAAATAAGCATAAATGTTTCGCAAATATTTAAAAGTTTAGTAATTTTATATGTATAAAAAACAATATTTCACCTGAAGAGTTGTCTTCAGACTTTCCAGAGCATTGCGATATTTCTCCATATTATTTTCTAAAGCTTCAGAACTTATCTCTATTTCTGGTAATGCATTTTTTCCACTGCTCTTTATCATTGCCTTTAAAATATTTATTAATTATAATACACATTCATTTATTATTATACCCTTCTGTGTGTACGTGTTTTAAAAATTTATTGTACCTGAAATTGTGTTGAAAAAGATTTTTCAATAAAAGTAACTGCTTCACCACATTTACCAGCTCGGCCAGTTCGGCCTACACGATGTATATAATTTTTAATGTGGTGTGGGGCATCATATGAAAGAACGACATCAACATTATCAATATCCATTCCTCTAGCTAAAGCATCTGTTGATATTAATCTTAAAAGAAAAAAAGGTGAATTAATACATATCATTTAAAGTTTTAACTTTGACAAATTTTTTGTAGGTGCACATGTAAAAATTTCATAAAAATTTTATAAAATAAAAATAGATTATATTTTGAATCAAGTCAATTAATAAATAGTGTTATGTAGTTTTAATAGCAAAACTTGAAGATCTTATATAATCCATATATTTTATATTTTAATTTCAATTTTTCAAACTTACATATTAATTTCTCCTTTTGCAAACTTCTGCAATGTGTCTTCTCTTGTTTTAAAATCAAGAGCGGCTGATAACTCAGAAATTTTCATATCTGGTGCCATATGATGCAATAAAAGTGATAATCTGAAAAAAGAATGAAAGAAATGAATATTTGAACTTTCTTTAGCAATATATAAATATAGTTTATCAATGCCATGTAATTTCTTTAATTAAAAAATTCAATGATTGTCAATCAAGGGCCTAGTTACTTAATATCAAAACAAAGTGCATAGACTGTAGATATACTACTTGACTTGCCTCTATTGCAAATTAAATATTTCCATACCTATGTGCTGCTTTAGATGAATTAGTGAAACAAAGCACCTGCTTCCAGGACTTTTCTTTAATAAGTGTTAACATCGCCAATGGTTTTATAGATATATTAGTAATGCAATAATATTCTTTTAATTCCTCTGGTGTTGTGTATTTTCCAATGAAATCTCCTCGTTTGATGCTTTTGCCTTGTAATTAAACAAATTATTTTAAAATAAAATATATACTAACAATATATTTAGTTATGTTAAATATTGTGGAACATTAACTCTAAAAATTACCTGTTATTTGCACATCGTCAAGAGATTTAGAAACTGTAGTGAATAACCTTGGTTGAAATAAACCAATTTTTTGCAACTTCTCAGGATCCTGAGATAATGTTGCTGAGAACAACAATTTTTGCGGATGTTCAGAAATATCCTTTAAAGTTTTCAATGATAATGTTGTGGACCGAACGGTTTGATTAAATTCTGAATGGAGTAATTATTCATTATAGACTTGTAAAAGGGCAAACCGAATAAAATAATATATATTACCATTCCTCAAGTGATTATCAACATGTAGTAACCAATCATTCTGTGTTTGCTCCATTGTTTTATCAGCTTCGTCCAAAACCAAATATCGCAAACCTTTCAAAGTAAATCCAGGAGTTGAATGTAAATGTTCAACAAGCCGACCAGCTGTACAAACTAGTATATCACAATTGCTTAAATATTCTCCAGTGCAAGCTAAAATATTTGATTTTTTAAACATTTTAATGGATATAAAAATGTGTTCCTATATTATATTAGTAGCAAAAAATTGCACTATAGGTCAATTTGAAACATATTGTAAATGTTTTCAACTATTATTACTACTGTGTTATAAACAAAATACTAACATTTTTTAACTAAAAAACTTTGTTCTCGAACAAGTGTTTTTTGAGCTGCTAAGAGAGTCACCTTTAAATCAGTTCCAATTACCATACTTTGAAATACTTTGTATACTTGAACAGCTAATTCGTGCACAGGCAGAACTACTAAAGCACGTACTTTACGAACTCTTCTTGTTAATAAAGCCTAAAAATTAGATAATTTTACCTTATGTTTTTAAATATTCATAAAGTTTCATTCATAAAGAATTTCATTTCTTGACAAGGAAAAAAAAAACAAGTGCATGTCAGATTGAATTTTACGGTTTATTAAAATTGCATGAAAAGTTTACAAAAGTGTACAGATAATTAAATAATTGCTTACAAAAAACCATACATAATCGAGACTCTAATGTGCGTTTGTGGAATCAAAAAAATGTCTTACATTTCAATCAAGATATAGAAGCGAATATGGAATCGGACAGTAAACCATCAGAAATCCCAAAACTACGAAAGACCGTTATTGGATCCAGCAAATACAGCAAGATACCTCGCGAAGAAGGTCGGACTAATATGTTTACATCGGAAAAGGTCTCGCTGCGTTCAACTTCATCAGTTTCTGACTCTAGACAGGAAGTATTATCATCTGGTAATAGTGCATCTACAAGCCTCACTCAACCACATTCTGATGTCAAGAAACCTCCTAATTCATGGCAAGTAGTCAATTTCAAAAAAAGAAAAACTTCATTTGAACCATTAGGAATAGATGTCAAAATTCAAAACAGATTTTCGCCCCTCTCAACAATAGAAACAGCTAATGATGACAATTCAGTTATACCGGCTCCAGTCAGTAAGCCCCCTCCAATATTTATTTACGGAGTTGACGATATTAATGATATGTCTAATCAATTAAATGAAATAATTCCGCACGATCAATATTTCCTGAGAAGTTTAGCTAACAATACATTTAAAATTCTATGCAATTCTGTCGACCATTTTCGAACTTTATCCAGACATCTAAAAGAAACTAATGCCGTATATCATACATATCAATTAAAAGAAGAGAAGGCTTATAGGGTTGTTCTTAGAAATGTACACTTTTCAACAAGCACAGATGCAATTAAATTAGAACTATTAAAACAGGGTCATGTCGTACGTAATATCCTAAATATTAGACATAGAATAACAAAAGAACCTCTTAATATGTTTTTTGTTGATCTGGAACCAAATAGAAATAACAAAAATATTTATAACATTTATAAATTATTCAACTGCATAATACGCGTCGAACCACCGAGAAAGTCCAACAACATTATACAATGCACTCGCTGTCAACTCTTTAATCACACCAAAAAATACTGCAATAGACCATTTGCTTGCCTAAAATGCGGTGACAATCATAATACTAACGCTTGTACCAAAGATCCGAATGCTCCGGCATGTTGTTATTTTTGCGACGGTGCTCATCCAGCTAATTATCGCGGTTGCTCATACTTCCAAAAAATTAAAGAACAAAGAAACAAAACTCCAGTAAATCTATCAGTCACAAATCCAAATCCAATTAACCAAAATTTTATAAATTCTAATAATTCTAATTCTAATAATAAAATAAGCAACATTTCTCCGGCCTTAAATCCAACAATTCAAAATTCATCCTATGCAGACATTGCAAAAAACAATTACTCTGCTTCTAATCATTCACCTTCAAATCCTGATTCTGATTCTCTAGCAACACTTATTTTAGAATTTAAAAATATCTTCAATCAGCTTTTGCAACAGAACACCATAATAATAAATATGTTATCCACGTTAGTCAACAACAAAAGCAATGGCAAAAATAATTAAAATTGCTGAATGGAATGCCAACGGTTTAATACCTCACAAAAATGAAGTAGAATGTTTTTTAAAGTTAAACTTAATAGATATCTTATTAATCTCAGAAACTCACTTCACTGAAAAAAACTACTTCAAAATTTATAACTACACTACTTATAATTCAAATCACCCAAGTGGCAGGGCTCGCGGCGGTTCGGCTATATTAATCAAAAATAATATAAAGCATTTTGTTCTACCAAATATTTCTGATGATTTTCTACAAGCAACTCAAATTTCTGTTGAAACAAATTTATATAATTTTTGTGTTTCTGCTGTTTATTGTCCACCAAGATTCAAACTTTCTTGTGCTCAGTTTTCTTCATTTTTCTCTCAATTAGGTAATAAATTTATCATTGGTGGTGACTTTAATTGTAAACATATTGCCTGGGGTTCTAGACTGACTACAGCCAAAGGAAAGATTCTTCATGCAGCCATAGGGCAAAATAACCTCTCCTTTATTTCAACTTGCAGTCCAACTTATTGGCCTTCTGACCCTACTAAAGTTCCAGACCTTTTAGATTTTTTATTGTGAAAGGTATTGATCTTTCAAATCTCAATATTGAATCTAGTTACGATCTCTCTTCAGATCATTCTCCAATACTTGTGACGTTTAGCACATTTCCTACTCCAGTTATCAACAATCATATTCTACACAACAATCTTTCTAACTGGATTCAATTCAAATCCATACTTGATTCAAAATTATTTCCAAAATCTAGGCCTACAAGCGTTATTGATATAGAAAATAATATAGATTATTTTTCTGAGATTGTACGTGAAACAACCAAGCAGATCACCCCGAACATTAATCCAAGAAATGATAATCTAATAATTCCGCAAGAGATTAAGAAGCTAATTGCACAGAAACGAAGAGCAAGACGTACCTGGCAACATTCTCATCTACCAACGGATAAGACATCGCTTAATCATCTCAATAACACGCTGAGGAAAAAAATGAAAGAATGGAAGAATTGTACCTTCAGGTCGTATATATTGCAGTTAAATAGGTACGATAATTCCATATGGAAACCAATCAGAAACAAAAGTAAACCCCTACAACAAAACCCTCCTCTGAAAATAACCAACCAAAACGGATTCATTTGGGCAAAAAGCAACGAAGAAAAAGCGGAGGCATTTGCTGATCATCTAAGTAGCATTTTTAGCGCTCGAAATATTTCCCAGAATAATTTAATTAACAATTTCGTAAATCAACCCATACATTCTACACCGTTAGGACATTTTTCACCAAATGATGTCTTATGTGAAATAAAAAGGATAAAAAATAGATCTTCGCCAGGTATGGATAAAATTACTCCAAAGATGTTAAAAGAATTGCCTACAAAAGGTATCTTATATATAACAAATATTTTCAACGCCATACTTCAATACAATTATTGGCCCACAGCGTGGAAGACTGCAGAAATTATTATGATCGCTAAACCAAACAAAAACCATCACACTGCTAGTTCATACCGTCCTATCAGTCTTTTATCGATATTATCGAAAATTTTAGAGAGACTTTTGTTGCAGAGATTGTCAGAAGATCATCCGAATGATAGTTGGATTCCTCACCATCAGTTTGGCTTCAGAAAAAATCACTCTACAATTCAACAATGCAACAGAACGGTGTCTCGTATTCTTGAAGCCATGAATAGAAAGGAACACAGTGTAGCCGTATTCTTAGATGTCAGTCAGGCTTTCGATAAGGTTTGGCACTCAGGACTCCTATATAAAATCAAAACAACTTTTCCAAACTACTTCAATATCTTAAGCTCATATTTGCTTAATAGAAAATTTAGAATCAAAATTAAAGATGTGACTTCGAGCATCAGAAATATAGAATGCGGGGTACCACAGGGCAGTGTGCTAAGCCCTGTACTTTATCTTCTTTTCACAAACGATATGCCCACAGATGATCTTCTAACCATATGCACTTACGCCGATGACATAGCAATTATTTCATGCAATTCCGATATCAGAACAGCAACTTGTCAGTTACAAAATTATTTATCTAGTCTCGAAAAATGGTTTTTAGATTGGAATATCAAAATCAATATCGAAAAATCTCAGCACATAATTGTTTCTCTAAAACATCACAACAGTCCACCTATCATCATGAACAATTCAATAATTCCACTATGCAATTCTGTTAAATATTTAGGCATGCACATTGATTCGAAATTGACATGGAGAACGCACATTGAATATAAAAAGAAACAAATCCAACTGAAAATAAAAGATTTTTACTGGCTTTTTGGGAGGAAATCTGAAATCTCTCTCGATAACAAGGTACTTTTGTATAAAACTATCATAGTGCCCATTTGGACTTATGGAATCGAACTATGGGGTTGCTCTTGCAAATCTAACATAAACATCATTCAAAGGTGCCAGAATAAAATTCTGCGTATCCTTACTAATGCGCCTTGGTATATTTCGAATTTTTGCCTACATAAGGATTTGAAAATCTCAACAGTCAACGAAATGATCAAGATTAGAAGTTCATCTTTTAACAACAAATTAATCCAGCATACAAATCCTACAATTCAAGCGATTCAGAAACCGATAAGAAGATTGAGCAAGAAATGGCCTTCCGATCTACCAAACACCTAGCCCAATGTCTGCACGCGTCCTGACGTAGTACGCGGCATACATCATCACGTCATCGTTCATTTATGTTATTATTTTTGTATTACTGTTTTAATTTAATTTTTATTTCAACTTTTTTCATTTTATATTCAATGTATTGCATTTTTTGTTTTTTTGTATTTTTTTTTGCTCATATCAATTTTGTAAATAAGACATTAAAGTCTTGATTAACAAAAATAAATTGTAACAAAAAAAAAAAAAAAAAAAAAAAAAAATTTCTTGACAAGAGCCTGAAATAATATCTATTATTATTGATTACGGCTTGCTTATGAATAAATAAATATATAAATAAATAAAACAAGTAACAGCAATACAATAATTGCTCATCTTATTTTAATTACATTATCACATTCAAATAATAATTTTTAATTTATATTGGAATAAAATATTGCAGTCATATAAAAATTGTACCTGAACAATAGGTATAACAAACGCAAGAGTTTTACCACTTCCTGTTGGGGCCGAAACACAAACATCAGATTGTCGTAAAGGTTCAGGAACATTTATGCCTTGTAAAAGCCAAGGTATTAGCTACAAACAATCGAAAATAATAGAAAATAATAAACTTTATGAAATGTGAGAAATAATATATTATACTTACTGTCGTTTGCACTGGAAAAAAATGATCAATTTTTAAAGCTTTCAAATTATTTTTTATAGTTTCGTTCAACATATCAATAGTATCAATGCTGGTTATATTATTCTTCAAATCTGATGACATTACTGTTGGATTTGCCAACCAATATGGAAGAACCCTTTTTACCTGCAAAAAAATATATATAACATAAAAAATATATTTAGGGATTTGCAATAATAGTAACAATACTTTTAATTTTTTCTGAAAGTTCTCATTTCCCAAGATAGTAAATCCAGTATCTTCAAGATTTTTCTCTTTAGCAGCATCTTGTGCATTTACTGTTTTCTCATTTTCAGCATTATCTACCGTGCCAAGTTTTTCTGCAATTTCATCTGCTGGCGTAGATTGATTATCTACTTTTTGTTCAGCATTTACTAGTTGTTCGCTTGTTAATTCCTTTTTAACCACATCAATATTTAGAATTTCTTTTTCTATAGCCTGTTTTGGTTCATTTAGTCTAGCTTGTTCTTTTTTAATAATTTTTTTCTGCAGTCTTTTTAAAATAGAGATTTCATTCTTTTTATCTGAATCATTATGGAAAATATTTTCTCCCTTTTCCTCATCATATCTAAAAAGTCCATTATTTTTTAATATTGCCAGTTTCAAATATAGAATATAAAACAAATAAAACAGTACCTGTTAATTACAAATAAATCCATATTATTTATTTATAATAAATAAATGACATTTAACCTAAATATTGAACGCATTGACTTTTATTTGCTTGACAGTTACCACGTGCTTCTTGATGGTTCCAGTTTTCTACTACAGTTGTCGCCATAAAAGTGTTCCAAATTTATTATTTTAACAAATTTCGATAAGATAAATTAAAATAAATTATAGTTCACCTAAAGCAAGCAAAAAAATCTAAGTTTCAATAGTCGAAATAGTAGCAGAAAACTTATTTTTTTTTTTAAAATCGTTCTAATAATTAAATAACCCGTACCAACTACTAAAGATTAAAAAAAAGGTGTGAGTGGCAATCTTGCGAACTTCATTTTCTTCAAAAGCGCCACCAGATCCCAGATGTCAAAATAGTTACCAGCTGTCAAATTTGACAATTGCTATCGACGTCAAACGTCAAACGCCTACAATAATTGTAAAAATGTATAAATTGTTAAGAATTACATGTTGTAGGATTGTTCTAAAATTTGAATGCATAAAAATAAAAAATATGTTATTATTGAGCTTACAATAATTGTAAATATATTAGATGCTCAATAAATTCAAAAGTGATGGTCAAGGGACACTCATTGATCATCGTATCTCTTGTGATAGGATTAGTTGCGATAATTTACACATGTTATAATAAGACTAAAAAATCAAATTATGAACTTGCATATAGTTATTTTCCGCAAGGATATTATTTAGGTGCAGGTGAAGAGTCCTATGCTTTAATCAACCAATATTCTATTGATAATGAAGAAGCTAATAAAGGTGTATTTGATAGGAAATATCTTTCAAGAAAAGCATTTAATTTAGATGTTAGATTACATTAATATTTATATTTTGTAATAGTTTCTGAAATTGAAGCTTTGTCATCACTGAAGGCAGCAATGGATTTAAAAGTGCAAGGAAGACTGGATAGAGCACTTAAATTATTTGAGCATGCTGCAGCATTGGCACCAAAGCATCCAGATGTTTTAACAAAATATGGAGAATTTTTGGAAGAAACAAAAAAAGATATTGTTAAAGCAGACCAACTATATTTTCAAGTAGAGCATACTTCTAATTACATTTTTTTTATTGTAAATATATAAAAACATAAGTTTTTATAATAGGCCCTCACATATTGTCCCACCCACACTGATGCAGTTTCAAACCGGCAAAGAACATCTACAATAGTAGCAAATATAGATAATACTCGTCTTGAGAGTATTGATAGAAAAAGAGACGCTTTAGCTGCTATACCTGAATCTAATGGATCATTAAGAAGGGCAAAGAAGGAAGCATATTTTAGTGTTAGTAGTTTTAAATAAAAATAATTGAGTTATATCATTACTAAAAAGTATATTGAAATTTCAGTATATTTACCACACAGTTGCTATTGAAGGTAATACTATGACATTACAACAGACTCGTTCTGTTCTTGAAACAAGAATGGCAGTCATGGGAAAAAGTATAGACGAACACAATGAGATATTGGGTTTAGATTCTGCCATGAAGTATATAAATTCAAGTATACTAAATAGGTAATAAATATTTATTACAATTATGACAACAAAAACAAATATTCAACTTATATTTATAAATTTCAGAATGGGCGAAATTACTATCAATGACATTCTGGAAATACATCGACGTGTACTTGGTCATGTAGATCCAGTGGAGGGTGGATCTATGCGTAGAACACAGGTTTATGTAGGAGGCCACGTACCTCCTTCACCTAGTGATTTAACAGTACTAATGTCAAGATTTGAAAGATGGTTAAATTCTCAACGGGAGTCTGAATCTGTGCATCCTGTCAGGTAAAAACTAGCTATACAAGTGATTAAAAACCAAAACATTACCTGTTTATTATTTAATAATAGGCTTGCAGCTCTTGCTCACTACAAACTAGTTCACATACATCCATTCACTGATGGAAATGGTCGTACCTCACGATTGCTGATGAATGTAATTCTGATGCAAGCTGGTTATCCACCTGTTATTATATTGAAACAGCACAGGTAATTATAATTCATTAAATTATTTATATTTATTCAAATTTATTGAATATTAAGAAAATATTTTGTATGAAGTCATTATAATATGATGATTAAAAAGTATTATAAAGTTTGAGACATTAAATGGGATTGTATGGTAGACCAAGATGATATACATTTACAATATTATTCAATTTACAAAGTTTCATTTCAATATTCATTATTAATTATTTTATGTTATAAATTATATAATAAGTCTCAATGTTATATATAATAAGACCCAACTTCGTTTGAATGACCTTTATAAATAAAATTATTATTAACTGTTTATTATTACTTACTGTTTTCATAACTTATAGGCACTTATACTATGAAACGTTGCGCATAGCCAATGAAGGCGACGTCAGACCTTTTGTCCGATTTATTGCTGAATGCACTGAAAATACATTGGATTTATTCTTGTGGGCTACTAGCGAATTTTCTAATAAAATCCCAGCTTTAGCACAAGAGTTTTCCAGCACAACCGATTCTTTAGAGTTACATGAAGGGAGTGCAGATTTTTATGAAGAAACTAATGGAAACAGTTGACGATAAATAAAAAATATTAGATCAATTATTAAGGAAATATTTTGATTGTGATTTTATGTAAATATTATATTTATGTTAGATTTTATTTATTTACTTTTATAATGTGATGTTACCATGTCAAAGCAAATAAAGTATTTTTAATTACAAATACAATAGTTTTCATAATTAACTTTCCGTAGGGTAAAAAAAATTGAAAATGAAAATTTTTATATATCTTTACGTTTCAAAGCTTTCTGAATATTTTGGCATACCTTAGAAAAAATGGATGTATGTGTCGACAAATTTTCGCCGACGATTTCGGGAACACCAAACAACCGATTTGAATATTTCAAAAAACGTTCGATTCGTATTGATAAGGAGACTTGCTGTTTAGTTTTTGGCGAAGGCAGGTCTAGCCGTTCCGAAGACACGGGGCAAAAAGTGCCAAAAACGGTAACTCAGTTTTTAAGAGAACGGAGCGTCCGATTTTAATAATTCAAAAACATTTTACTTGTATTGACAAGATGAAGAACTGATTAAATTTTTGGGTAGGCAAGTGAAATAAATAAACTCAATAAAATTAAGTTAAAAAAATGTCATTTGGCGGTGAAAAATGTTTATTGGGCATATGTACATCAAATTATCAGATATTTTATAGAGATTTCAATAATGTGTACACCTTTTGTGTAATTTTTTTGGGTTCCGTACCAAGATTTTTAATTACGGTATGGGAAGTTCCAGCAATTTGCCTTAAGGCACGATGCCATACACAACTAGTTTATTATATTACATTCGCGTTAATCTTGATCAAATAAATCTTACAGTTATTGTACGAACACAAAACAACTGAAAATTATATTTGTGATTTATATACAAAATTTGGAAAATCTTGAGATTCCAAATTCTTTTTAAGTATAATTATAATTAATCTTAATTGTTTATCAGAAGATTAATTATCATCATCACAAATCATAATTAATAAATTATCATTAATCCAAGATTATAATCTTGAAGAATTTGATCAACTTCTGAATTTTGAATTGAATTTTTTTTAAAAATACTCTAAAATAGTGAAAATGTTTAAAATCGAATTGTTAAAAAAATATACAAATTATCCAAAGTTACAATATTTTAAGTTTCTGAAAAAAAGTTTGTAAAGTTTTTATATTTTTGAAAGTTTTGATCACTCTTCTTTTATCTATGGTTTTGATGTAATAAAACAAAATTTAAAACAATCGCCATCTAGTTTATCATTCCTTAATTATGATTCAAATATTAACATATTTTAACATTCTTTGGTTTGACGTTATAATCTTTTATCTCAAATTTTTGTTAAAATTTTTATCACATATTTTTTTATGCAAATGATAATATTTTATATGTTTTGTAAAGCATTCGATTTGTGCGATTTAGGGCGTATTTCGTACCTAATTTCGATATGCAATATTAAGAGGATTTAGTCAGATAGTGAAAAACCTTTGTTAACCTATGTTATAAGTGCGTTACCGTTGCAATTATGCGTTGGAATCTGTACGCATTTGTACATTTGCTTTTATTATTAGGTAACTATTGCGTTTTTTTATTACTAAGTACTTATCTTGAATATCAATAATACTCAAAAATTATGATAACAAACCAATTTGTATAATGTTTATAATTTTTGCCAAAAATCTCAATAGCATCATATTTGTCCAATTATCAACTGTATAGGACAAAAAAAAAGTTTTTTAAGAATTTAGCCTGGACAACAGGCTCTTCTACAAGCATTTATAAGATTTTTATTCACTTTATTCTAATATTCATTATTCATTTAGGGTGTTCGAAAAATGAGGAGCCGCGCGAAGAGAAGACATGCCAAGGTCTGGATGTTAGCGATCCGGCAGATGGATATGCTTCGGGCGCATATAAATGGATTAAAAAATTAACTAAAAGGTAAAAGGATAACTATAGTAGTGCATGGCATCGCGCCTTAAGGCAAATTGCTAGAACTTCCCGTACCGTAATTAAAAACTCGAGGAATGAAAATAATCAATAATTGTTTTGAATAATTTCAAATAGATTATTGATTATAAACACATACTATAAATTTATAAGTGCTTATTGGGCGACGACCGTATTCTACAAACAACTTATATGCTTACAAGAAATTTCATCATTTTTTTTTTTATTTGATTTTTTTGATAATTTAGAATTTTTTTAAAAGTTCGAAAATTTTTGTAATTTTTGAAAAAAATCGTTTTTTTTTTAACTTTTTGAGAATTTGGAAACTTTTGAAAATATCCGATTTTTTTTTGAAAATTTCGAAATATTCTCAAATTTTTGTAAGAAATCGTATTTTTTAAATTTTGATATTTTTCGAATAATGAAAAATTCCAAAAATTTGAGTCTTTTGAATTTTTTTTTTGAAAATTTTCAAAACTATGAAATTTTTTGTAAAACCATTTTTTGCACATCGTCTACACAAACGAAAGGTTTTTTCAATTAATCTAATCGGATGATCCGTTCTCTCAAATATCTCCGGAACGGCAAGATGTGCCTTTTGCAAAAACGCCTTGCGATCGAGTACCGAATGTTTATTCAATAATACAAATCGGTTATTCCATACTGTCGAAAATTCGAGGACATTTGTTTGAACCATATAAATAAACTTCAAAATTAAAAATCTTGGTACGGAACCCAAAAAAATGACACAAAATGTGTACACATTATTAAAATATTTATGAAATATGTGATAATTTGATGTGCATGTCTAATGAACATTTTTCACCCAAAATATCATTTTTTTTACTTTTTTTTTATTGAGAGTCTTTTTGCGCCAAAACAACAGCAATGGTACGAGCAAAATACATTTGTCAGAATCGGACAACACTAAATCTCTGGCAATTCCGAAATTAGAAGATTTGCATATAAACGCTAATCATGATCGTTTTATGGGCTCGCTTTTCATGTACATTGTTCACTTGATGTTTTTGTTTTTTGTATAAATAAATACTTTATTAATCGCAGCCAGTCTTCCTTATTTGTGCTTTTGGAGTCAATTCCTTTCTCAGCATCCAATTCCGACTGGACTGTCTTCCAAGCAGATAACATCTAGTATATCATTAATATACTCAATGGTACAAAATCTTCAGCATAGCTATTGAATCAAATTCAGTAAGCTATTCCGAAAGGGTCTAACCAACTCCCATCCTTAACAGAGTCCATAACCGCTGACCCTGCTTTTCCAACAATTTTAACAGAAAGGGTCTAACCAACTCCCATCCTTAACAGAGTCCATAACCGCTGACCCTGCTTTTCCAACAATTTTAACAGTTCTTTGTTTAGTCAATACAAATAAAATATTTTTTGAATTATTCAAATCGACGCTTTGTTCTCTCATAAACTGAATTACCATTTTTGTTTTTTTTTGCCCCGTATCTTCGAAACGGCTAGACCTGCCTTCGCCAAAATCAGCACGTCTCCTTATCAATACGAATCGAATGTTTTTTGAATTATTCAAATCGGTTGATTTGTGTTCCTGAAATCGTCAACAAAAATTTGTATCCGCACACACACACACATATATCCACTTTTTCTAAGGTATGCCAAAATGTTCAGAAACTTTTGAAACGTAAAGATATATACAAATTTTCATTTTCGATTTTTTGCGATTACTATAACTTGCCCTTAAGGAAGCTAAGAACTTGAATAATATACATTCTTCCCAAGCAAATTAATGATATTATTGCCTGTCTTTTGATAACAAAATACTTTCCGATCAGATATCCTCTATGCCATTTTGTGAATCTAAAATCAGCCAAAGAAAGTTTAACGCTCTTTACGAATACTTGATTTGATTGATTTAGACATTTTTTGTATTGATATTTTTGAGTATTATCATGACTTAAATGTAAATATTCGCTCTTTAATAAAATCACCTTAACCCAATTTGTTAGTACAAATTTTCTAAATTTATGTTTCCAGATATGAGCGTTCAAAAAGATACACAGAACAATTCCAATCAGTCCAAAATATTTTCAGAAATATCAATCACGACAAGTTTGAAAAAGGTCTAGCAAATTCCGGAACTTGCAAACGCTCTCTCCCTACAAATTACTTACAAAAAAAAGAAGCAAAAGGCAGGCGCAAAAAACGTTTTGGAGCCGAATCTGTATCTGAAGTTACACCATCTGTATCTCCAAGTACAGCAAAACAAAATCCAGATGAAGTTCAGACGCAACAAGATCCAGGTGAAGTTCAGATACCAAAATTCATATTTACCCAGCTGTGGTAACTGAAATTGCGATCAACCCATTGTGGTTAACTGGAAGTATTCCACCAGACCTAGCCCGAAATCTGGTCTCAGATCAAGCCTTGCTTGCCAAATTAACTTCACCTCCTGCTGCTGTAAGTCCAGCAATTGCTCCGGATAAAAAACCCGATTTGAACTCAATGATGGTTGCTAAATTCGTTGATCCAAAATTGAAATCCAAACCCGATTGGAAGTCAATGTATCAAAATCAACAAATAACGCAAAATCGACAACTGATACAAAATCAATTTAAAGCACAATCTCTCGAGAAAGAAGGAAATAAAAAGCGGTCAGTGTAATTTATCTTTCATTATTTGCTTTTTTTAATGATTTTCACAAATTGACACAAAGTGACAGTATTGTCACAAAAAATACATTATTTTTCGTATGCCTCAACAAATTGTTATATTTTATCATACCAGTTTTACCAAGTAGTATACCAATGGACTGCATGGTTCATGATATTTTACCGACGATTTTCTAAAATGTGTTTTAATATTTTTTATGACTAAATTAACTTGTAGTATCGTCAAATATTAACTTATATTTTCACGAGATAAATCATCAACCATTAATTTTTAAATTTATTAACGGTAATTTTTAAGTCTAGCTCTGTAAATTATTTGTAAATCATATTTATGTAACTGTTTTTAATTTAACAATTGATAATTTAACTAAAATTTCATTTTAGTTACATACCGTGGAATGAAGGCGGACAGAACTATTATCAAAATTCCGGAGAGAGCCGACCTTATACTGGTAAAATAATGTATTAAATATTAATATTAGTTTAAAAAAAATAACTAGAGATCGCATTTCCATAAGTCATATAAAACCATGGAAAAATC